GAAATCCTAAAGACTAAAAAGAAACTTGGAGGTCCAACAAGCAAAAAGAAGTTTTTCTTCCTTATTATAACAATAAAAATTACATAATCTGTAACGTTCTTTATGTCAAAATGCAGATTTCTGCATTTTGAAATATTTATTTTACAAACGGTAATGTGAAATTGTGTAATAATAAGGAATTAACAGAGGCAAATCCGGATAGGAACGTCAGTGCTTACGAAGGGAAAGAACAGTGGCGAAATTATTGTTAAAATAATTTTTTATCGTCTTTGAATGTCATAATTACAAGATTGTATAAAATAATTCATTACATTTTTCGAATTATATTTAAAAAATTATATTACTCAATACTCAAGTCAGTACGTGAGTATTGCAGTGAGCACTGAAAATCATACTCAAGTCCTTGCCGTTAGGGTCGTATTTCCAGTGCCTGAAATCATACTCAAGTCTGCTCAAGTCCTGACTTGAGCATTGAGTAGAGTTCTGGAATACGACTTAGTCTGACTCAAATTACTAATTAGTTTGTAACCAGACTGATATCTATCAGTTTCCGAGCTTCTTAACGTTAAGCGACATCTATATGCCAAAACGAGATTTTCAAAATCTACGTATAGATTGATCCGCATTAAGTTAGTTCACGTAATATAAAAATGTACTGATTCAACCGATTTGCAGTAAGAGATTTACTTATAATTTATTATTTGATTTGTTTATTTTACTTTATTGCTAAAAAACAAAGAAGATAATTACTTCTCCAAATATGCCACGCGAGAAAGTAGTAAAACTGACAAAAAAGTTTCCTATGTCAGGGATACATAGGCAAGTTTTACAAAAAAAAAAAAAAATTGTGAGAGCATGGTAAGTATCAACTCAGTTCTTTTTGTTATGGTTTAACTTGAACTCGACTTGACCATAACTTATAAGAAATATTTACCTCAGAACTTTCGCCACGTCACAAATCCAAAGCACCATTCAGCTTCTATTAACTTCGCTTAACGCTTCTGTAGTTTATTTTGATATAATAATACACCGAATAAATTTTATTCAATTATGTAAAATATAACCTCTAAAACTTTAAACTAGAATATCTTTAATTTCAGACTTCTCAGAATAACAAACCCAAAACGAAATTTGTTCAGGAAATTAAACTATACATTTTCACATATTTTTCATAAACTGACACAAATAAATTATGTCAACAAAAATTTATACGGGAGTTCGCCATAGTTCTTTAAGTGTTTTAGATATTTGTGCTGCAGTAATTACCACCAACTACTCCTTTTGGAATCAGGAAAGGTAAGTGCATATTCCAGAAACAAGTGTTAAAGAAGATGAGATTGACGACGGAATTGGAATGAAATACGTTGTACGGGTTTCATCACACTTTAGCGGATTAGACTAGTATAAATGTAGATATATAATTGGTCACAATACGATAAGAAAAAGCTGTCGCGAGGACAACGAATAATGGCTAAATATTCATATTTTAGGCTGACAAAACTAAAAATTTTAACAGCTAAGAGAAAAAGTTAAAACAATAAAATGTTTATTGGAATTTCCGAATTTGTTGTTTATTTTTTTTATGAACACAAACCATGCAATAACGCTTTATAATATTATGTTTGATGTGGCGTAATTACCTGTCTGGCGCATTTTTACGACAGTGTCAAAACGGCACGTTTCCCGGCGTACATTGGTTTTATGTTCACTCGTAAATTATCGCACGTCTCCTTTATGGGTTCTATTGTTAGATTCCTATAGGAATTCTGTATTTGTAGTGGTGGAGGTCGAAATTTGTCACACTGCAGATGCAGTTAATAGTGTAAATTTGCAGTTGGACATTCGTGGCATGAAAACAAAAGTAATTTTCTACATAATTACATGTCATGTAGCAAATTTATTATAATTATAATATATTTAATAATTATTTTTATATTATGTATAGTCCATGCTCTATACCTGACCCTCTAGCCGATCTTTTGGTTCTGAAAGGCTTCTTGTGCATTCAACAGAAAAGTGTAAAGAATTCCAGCTTTTTAGTTAAAATTTGTGTTTATGTAATGCAATTAAAGATCAGGTTGGCTTAGAACGTTTTTTAAAACGTCATTCACTAATGATGCAATAAGGAAGTCATACCAAAATGAAATTTACGGCTCTAAGGTTTAATGTTAATTTTCTTTAACTTTTCTTCACACTGATTTACTCAGAATCAAACATATATATATAGTCAGGGTATCTCAGGGCATCAACGTACCAGTGGTATCATTAAATTCCGAGCCCACATGTGCTCAAACTATGAAAAGGGACCAAAGAGAGCGTGAATCATTCGCATAATCGTAAATTCCTTTAGGCAAAGGCCATGGATGATATCACTTTGTAATAAAATATCACAGGCCTAATAAGTACTGTAAATATAGTATGGATCAAAGAACTACAATGAAAACATTTAGATAAACATGGTTTCGAACGCCTATAAATAAAGGTACGTAATGAAATGATTAACACATTAATCAAACTGTACACGTAAATAGTAAACAATACCTATAATATTTATAGGTACGGGCGGTTATTAAGGCAATTCTGGTGAATTATATAAATTTATGACTGTGAGAACAAAAATGAAATCCCACTGGCGGTGCAAAACTTTTGTTAAATTTATTATAAAGCAGTACTAGAACAATCTTATTAGAGAAAGTTTTAAATGTACTTGCTTTATTTTACGGCTCTAAAAATAAAAATGTTCAAAAGATTCTTGAAACCAACTCTGTATTTTTTACCGTTCCTGAAATGTTTTCACGTATAACTTTCAAAGGGCAGATGTGCAATCCTTTTTAGCTAAACAAATAAACGGACAAGTTTCGGGGAAATACAACCTACAGAGGACAGAGTTGGCAAAAAGCGTAAAAAGGCAGTTCCGGCATCGCCCCTCCTTTGCAATAACATGTGTGAGACTGCAGTGTTCGGACAGACGAGGTACGAGTAAAGAGAGTAAAATGAACTTCATTCACTCGAAGTGACGACGTAATATAAGAAAATAATAAGGATTTCATACATTAGTAGGTACTCTGGAAGCGCAAACACATAAATAAATACAACACTAAAGATATTAAAGGTAAAAGATTATGTGCAAAGGGCGTGGTCACATTAGTATAGATTTAACATAACGTCAGCGCCCGGTGACATCAAACCATTAAACAGTCGATACATGGCATGACATCACGTAGATAAATGAAACAGCTGCGCGTGCACATCGCTTGTTTGAAGCAGGCCTTGCGGTTGCGATATTTATTAGTCAGCTGGTTTACGCAGAGAAATAAAAACGAGCCAAGGACAGCGTGTATGAACAAATGTTAAAAAGTAGATAAAACAAACAAATACCGTGAGTTTGTATAAGAAGCGAAAGAGATGTGTAACTAATGCGTTTAATAGGTATACATTTCTATAATACGTATGTTATAAAACAATTAGTAATAGAAATTCTAGCATTGACGGACAAACTATACACAAAAATGAAATAAAAGTAGACAAATGCAACTAATGTAAACGTCGTCGCTTATAGTTTACACCATCGATTACGATATTGCATCGCAGTAACCGGCTGCATGGTGATTTACACAGGGAGAACACCTACCGGGGACGCTTTCGCCGAACTGGGATTTTATTTGTCTGCTGTTTTGATTATCTACCCAAGGATCTATCTCCGTAGGTAGTGATGTCAAAGTATGAAGCGTTATGTCAAAAAAGCCGTGTTTTTCGCTTCCAATTTGCAACGAATATACAGGTATAGGCATGAAGATAGTATATAGGTATAGGCATGGAGGTAGCAAGCTGCAGTTTGATTTACATGGGCGTACCCAGCGAGTTGTGCGATGCGAAGTGTTTATTGAAATGGAAATTTATTTGTCTACCACCGGCCCGATTATCTCGCACATTTAGGGCTCTACCTGCACGGGCTTGAAATTTATGATATAACTTTCCCGTATAGTAGTGACTTTTGTCCAACTATTGTTTGATTTCGATTGTATTAGTCGTAAAAAACTTTAAATTTCATACTCATTCTTTATTCAATTATTCATTTACAAGCAAAGTACTATATTAGCGTAACGAGATCAAAAGGACTTGTGTCGACAAGTGACAAGTAATCCATCAGCAGTTTTTTGAGTTACATATAAATTATTTCGTGATTCGAAATTCCAAATCACAAGGGACGGAGGACCTCACTTTTGTTCGGTTCCCGTGCGCTAAAGTAGGGGCAAATGTGATTTACGATAAACGAAGTCTGCGACGATGAGACACTAAACCTAAGTCGGTAATGTTCGTGCTGATTTAGATCTTCTCAACTTTCTGAGGCGACCATTAAAATTGTACAAAACATAACTTATGTGTCTGCAGCTCGCATCAATGGCACATCATAAAAGAATGACCTACATCTACAGAGGTCAAGGACCGAGATATAATATTATCACTTATTGCACCAAAATATCAATGTGAAATGGAAAGAATTTTCTCAAAGATGGACTTTAAAGTACTTATCAGTAAAACACAGTTGGGAGCAATTTAAACGCTATGATACGAGGGACATACAATAGTAAAGCGCATTACCGCGGATATTGCTCTCATATCGGACATTATAGTCAGACATCATACGAGATGATAAATATAGTATGACAGTGAGCATAAAACGAAAATTGCAGTTTTACTGGACTACATGAGCTAACGATAACGTCCCTGGATTTGTTGCTAAATATAAAGTAGCCCCGATGGTATGTTTGCACATGACTGAGACTTAGATAAGCCATATATCGATAAGTTATGACTAGGTACAGTGTAAACAAAGGGAAAGGGAAAAACAAAATGAACGAGCTGTAACAACAAAGGAAATGTTGGAACGACTTTACGAAGCTAGTAATCTAGTACCACATTTTTTAAAACATAATGGTTACGAAGAAAAACCTTTGTTAAATGAAGATGAAGTGCCACTAATTGATGGTTGTACTCACTTATTTAGTTTGAAGCCGCGTACGACGGCGTCACAGGAACTTCGACCTAAAACAAACGATATCATGTAAACTAGTCTTGATTTAGCATTACAATAAAATAATAGCAATGTGTTGGTCGCGTGACATACATATACGAGTATTTTTCGCCCTTTTCACATAATAACAACAAACCTGCTAACAAGCTGAGAAGAATAAAGTAAATAATAATAATAATAATAAAATAGATATAATAATAATAAGGCACACTCTCAACATAGCCCCGTATTAGGCGAAACCTGTGTCGCGGGTGCAATGGACACACACATAGACAACCACAAATTACACCCAAACTCACGAGAGAAATAAATGTAGGCCATACAAATATTTCTCTCGGCCCGGGAATCGCACCTGGGACCTCTGCGTGGCAGTCCGGCATGGTAACCGTTCGGCCACAGAAGCAGTTAGTTTCCCATGGACGTAGGCAGAGGCTACAGCTTTCCACTTGCTCGTGTGTTTTATTATTATTATTCGTAGCTTGTTTTATTACTATTCCTGATATTTACTCAAACAACATTCTCTGCGAGACAATCAAGATTGAGTACGAAGTTAAACGCCTAACAAAATATAATTACGCGTCAAAAGTTACAGATTAGACAAACTGAAATCTAATTTATATTCTTGAAACTAACTTGACGAAAATAAAGACTGTGTTATGTTCATGTTTGGTAACTTAAATAATTATATATTACGGTATTATACAATATTATAAGTCTAGTTCACATGCTTTGTAATAATATTGACCATAACTATTATCATGGGATTGTTGATACTTAACTAGCATCTCCTTGGTTGGATCATAATTAAACGTGGCGATTGTGGTCTTAATGTATCTCATGACGTAGTCCCATGGGATTTTAGGTATTGCAGCCATGTGGCAGGATTGATTTTCCCAGTTACTGTTAGCTATTCAGCGAACCATTTAAAGGTAGTTTTAACATTCCATAGTTTTGCAAAACATACGAACGCACGACTTTTTATTCATTACGACTACACAACTTTACTGCAACAATATAAACGTTTATTCCAACTTTGCCCGTCGAGAGCCAATGCTGTTGTACGCTACATCCACAGGCTACATCCGTCCTCGACAAAGTTTGTCCTGCTTTTCAATCCTGTCCTTATATTACTAGAAACATTTTTATTTCCGCAACAGCAATTTACTTTCAACTTTTGCTATCGACTGCTCGAGCTGAGTCATACTTGAGCTCGCTTTTTTCAGCTTTATGTCGAACGTTTATTTGAATTCGCAAAGCCGCTGGAGCAGAAGGAAAGTCGGGCAAAAGTTTGGTTGTTTGCTGATTCTGTTCAGTCATGGCTTAGTATTTCACAGGGCTAAGGATATTTTTGTTTTCTTTTATTAACTTGTCTGTGGCAGCTATACACATCGCACATTCGTTTTTGGCAAACTTTATCCTGATTCAATTCCGGAACCTGCCTGACTTAATTTAGGCAGATAGGTGTGCCAAAACGTAAGTACAATTTGATGTCAGTCAGGTCAGTGCAACCTGCATCGGAATGTTACGTAGTTGTGCAAATACCTATTAAATTAATTTTACCGTTTTTATTCCCGATAGTAATTCAGAATATAAATTCGTTACCGTTTGTTATACTGTCACCCATTGTTCTATATTTAACGACGCGCTAATTTATTAAATTGGAGTTAGTTCTATTATGTGGGCTGTTTTAAGAACAGGTTTGTCAAAAATAGACATAGTTGATTTGTGAATAAAACCTCGTAAGGTTTTGTAGTTTTTGCTCACAGATTTTGTGATAGCGGCAACATGTAATATTTTTGTTTTGGCACGCATACAATAACAACTTCATTCGATTCTCAATTTTTCAGAATCATGAATACGATTTTGCACCATTCAGTCTGTATTTTCCACTTACTGGATATGTTCCAAGAAAAGCGTTAGGCAAATACTGCGTAAACTTTGAATGGTACGGCGTTGTTGTTTGGAAGACGAAAATGTCGACGAGTGTTTGTTTAACTCGACCTGAGTTGACAGATGGCAAACAAATGGGCACTAATTTGTTTCAATTGTTCTTTTCTCAATCATCAATGTCACGGCGAGCTTAAATTGTTTTAGCTTGTTAAGTTAGAACTTGTAAAGACAAAATCTTCATTTTGTACTCTTTGTTCGTGATTGTGATTACATAAAATAAACAGTTTTAAAAAGTTTAGAATGTGAGCGGATCCATTGATGAAATATACGTCGCCGTGATAGGAAATCCTTATTCTTCCGTCGTGCTTCAATGAAATCCTTTAATCAGTGAGCTTCGACGTATTAATAAAAATGTGCCAGACAACCACACCAATGTCTGGTCTCAAACTACGAAACTCCCTGTACTATGAGTACCAGAGCAACAGAATTCATTCTGGAGCACTTTCTAAAACACTCAGATCAGAACCAATTTAGAAAAGTTCATCTCCCAAATTTGGTCCTACCGGGAATCGAACCCGGGACCTCCGCATCTAATGTCCACCCACAGTGCAAACCGTTGGGCCACCGAGGTCGTCAATCGTATTGAAGCAGCATAATAAGAGATTTAAGAGGTTATCAACGAAAAAGGTCCAAACACACAAAAACAAACATTGCTTTTTTAGGAAGAGGATTTCAGATTCGCCGTTTTTCCGCGTCGCAGTAAAAAAATCGGTATTCGGTGCGGTCTCGAAAAACCCGGCAAAAAAACGGGATCTTTAAGACTATTTCAAAAGGAGGTTTCCACATTTATAGGCTACGCGTTTGAGCGGTCACCACATGATATTACGTTCTTTATTAGATAACAAAAATGTAAAAAAATCAACAATGATTTATTTAAATTCTTTTAAAAGAGTTTCTATTTTTATAGTGGGCACGAGAAACAAAGGGCGTTTAATGTAGTTTCAGATAGGGAGAATCTTATTTCAATGCTATCATCTTTAAATCTCCACAGATTATACTAAGCTTCTCTCTCAAGTGTTGCCATGTATGTATGTAATCAGAATAAAAATGAGCGTTGGTTTAGTACATTTTTTAAATTATGTTTACTTAAGCGACTTAAGTTTCAAAAGTGCGATATTCCCGAGACTGCAAATATCGGTTTTTCGTGTCTCGAAAATACGAAATAATCGTCAAGACTCCCGATATTTTCCCGCGATGAAGCCCGAGTTTCGGTTCATAATTGTTCTTAATATTTCTCTTTTTTTTATAAGTGCGCATTTGACCTCCATCTCACTTGATGGAAAGTGACGATGAGGCCGACGATGGAGCATACACACCTAAATAATGCCTATTCCAATCTCGCCTTTAAAGGCCAAAGTTATAACGTTCAGGAACAAGTCTGCAGGCAGGGAATTCCACTCCACAGCTTTTCGCCATATAAATGTGGAAGCATAACGCTTCGTGTGAATCTTTGGAATATCTACAACATAGGGGTGGAACCCAAGCCTACGCTTAGTCCTCCGGTGATGGAAAGGGGAAGGCGGAATTAAATCGTGTAATTCCATCGCACACTCTCTGTGATATATCCTGTCAAATACCGATAAGCAGGCAACTTTACGGCGATGTTCAAGACGCTGCTTTGCCTCCACTAATTCTGATTCACCTATAAGCTTCTTGGCACGGTTGTCAATTGAATCCAAAGTGGCCAGTTGGTATGTAGCAGAGCCATCCCAAAGGTGGCACAGCAGTACTCCATGCACGACCGGATTTGTGCTTGATACAGCTGAAGCAACCGTCCCGGCGTAAAGTAACGCCTCACCCTGGAAAGGATGCCAAGCTTCCTTGCTGCATTTTTGGCCATGGATTTAATGTATCTGCCGAAGTTCATATTGGACAACAGGTCTATTCCAAGTAACTGGAGACAGTCGGCTATCAGTATGGATAAATCACGAAAAGTCGGAGTCAGCTCAAAGGGACTCCGTTTTGCGGAGAATAGATAGACACGCCTGCGTTTTGATAGCGTTAAATTTGACAAGATTGGCATCGTTCCAATCGGAGACTGCCTTGAGCGTCAAATCCAAACGGCTAACCATGGACTCTTGACAAGACTGGATTTCCTCTCCACTGACTCTTGCATTGGTATCTTGCATATTTACCTACAACTGTGCTGCTGACACAGTATGCTGACGACAATCAGCATACGCAAAGGTACCTGGAATTAACATATCATTGATATGCAGCAGAAAGAGAGTTGCAAACAGTACGGAACCTGCATCTATCGCCATATGTTCGGAAGAGTAGCTTTCTAAGACCAATCGAATCGGACGTTCGCTCAAGAAATCCGAGATCCAATTACAAAGGTCAGTGGGAAGTCCATAAGAGGGAAGTTTACTTAAAATGCTTGCGTGCGAGACCCTGTCAAAGGCTGTAGAAATGTCCAATGACACTGCAAGTGCTTCGCACATACACAAGGAGATTCCCAGTAGATAGCCCTCGCCCTCTACGACTTTTCAAGGTCATTTGCAGATCCTATGATGATATTCGCAAACGACTGTATAGTAGTTATGAATAGTGTGAATAGAATTATGGCAGTTTGATATGGTATTTAGAATTGGTTAAAACTGGATAATCTTAAAAAAAAAAACAGCACGGTATGCTGAAAGCGCTGTTCGAATTCAGCCGGATCGAAGGAATTTTTCTTTAGTGGAGTAATTTCACAAAAAGATTCAAGAAACATAATATTATAATATTAATAAAACTGAAATCGTGACTTTCAAAGAAAACAATTTAAATTAAGGTAATTGATTTTCTCAGCAAATATGTATATTGATAAAACGGATGCTACCAAGTCTTCCGGTTTACAAGTAGATAGCGAATTGATGTGGTTTCCTAAAATTGAACATGTTTGTTCCAAACCAAGTAAACAGTTGTACTCTCTGTTTAAGCTGAAGAAAGTGGTCGAAAGAGAAGTGGTTCTACAGGCTTACCATGCGTACGTAGCTTCTACTGTGAGATATATTGATTCTGTTTTCCGAGCTTTAAAAAAAAGTGTGATGAGTAGCGTATCTTATCGTAATTTGAG